ATAAAGCAATAGTTTTGTGGGTTAATGTCATAAAGAGTTGACATAATATAATGGAAGGTTGACATAATCCAATAGTATTGTGGGTTAATGTCATAAAGAGTTGAAATAATATAATGGAAGGTTGACACAATACAATAGTAGTGTGAGTAAATGTCATAAAGAGTTGACATAATGTAATGTAAGGTTGACATAATGCAATAGTAGTGTGAGTAAATGTTATAAAGTGTTGACATAATGTAATGGAAGGATGACGCAATGCAATCGTTGTGTTCTGCTATAAGGCAGTGACGGCGTTCCATACATATATATGTCATCCACATATGATTTATATGAACAAAGTCTAAAAGGCCCGGGGTTCTATATCGGGGGGGGGGGGGGGGGCTGTCTTCCAGCACATGTGCTTCTAACATACCTTAGTTTTTTCCTTTGCCAAGCGCCCGTCATTAAAACAGGTAGCACCCATCTTAATTTTTAAACAAGACGCCCACGGGCTAGGTCACGTGAGTATTGTGTAACAACTTTCAAACAATTAAATTTGGTTCGTGTTTTAAACCAGAGGCCATGAAATTCACAATTCACAATTTTAAAAAGGGGCACCATTGCTTATCATAATTATTAACTTAGCATGCTTTCTCTAAAGGCCTGTAGTTGGTACCTTAAAATCAAGGGCCCTGCGTCACGGTAGGTGCAGCGACGATATTGAACTGTCGCTGCACACGGTTGCCGAGTAAAGGCCTAAATTTGAAGCCCTTCACGATTCGACGACGTCTCTATATGAGTGGAAAATTGTTGTCGTACAAGAACAACAATAATCAATCAATCATGTTTATGATCGATCGATCGATCGAGAGATCAAAATAAAAATTTCAAAACACAATGATCACATACATGCTCAGTAACGATATTCAAGGTCAATAGTTTTCATTTTTGCTGAAACCAATATTAAACAGGATATACATACTATGTAAAAGTTTAAAATCGGTACTGTGTCATATCCATGTACTCGCAAAATTGTAAGTTAGAAATCAGTGCAACTGTATTTCAGTGCTTGAGTGCTTTGACAAAATCAAATACGGGCTTGGATCCAAGGAAGGGAGATCAACATTACCGCTACATCGCCAAAATTTTCAACTCATTACCGCTATATTTTTTTTTTCAAAGAACAAGGGCGCTTTTGATTGGCATTCGGCGGGAATCTGGGCGTAATTGAAAAGTGAAAAATTTATCGACATGTCACATGAAATTTAAACATTTTTTTTTTTATTTATCGGGTTCATGTGCAACAGGAAAGGAAAATATTTTCACGAAATTGAGCTTTGATTTGCTAGAAAATAACTTGAAAATTGGCCAGATCAGACATTTGATACAAAATGGTACAATTTTAAACCCGTTTTTCTAAAAGTTTTCTATCTCTGCGTCTTCTCTCCATGATTTTTAAACGTTACAGTGGAGTCGCCAATTCTGTGTCGTCTCCAATTCCGGGTCACTCATTGTATTTTATGTCATATTGTTAAAATTTAAGCGCAAAAAACTTAATGAATACGCTGGCCATGAAGAACTCGTCTTTCTGTATGTGATTAATTACAAAATTTTGAATATCAACTATAAGAGAGCATCCGACAATCGAAATTCTGAAACGCACGCATTTAAGACTTGGATGTTTCTGCTGCGTGACGGGCTACTTTCGTTTTTGTTCGCTGCAGAAAGGCAGATATAAAAGTTCTAGATAAATAATAACAGCTCGAAAGTATGACAAATGCATTTAGTTTCAACTCAGATATCAATCATAATGATCGCTGCTCAAATAAAATTATTATGATTATTAAATGAAACTCTACTAGTTTCTCCAATTGCTCGTGGCATGAACATGTTAAAATTCTACGTACAAAACCAACCAACAACCATATATTTACCTTGATTATCAAAAGTATTCTATCTGGAAAATATTTTTTCTAAAAATTAAAATCGAGTTAACCCTTCAAATGCATTTTTTTTTTAAATTAGTTAACCCTTCAAATGCATTTTTTTTTAAATAAATGAATTTAATTGTATTTTTTTTTTAAAATATTAATACATTTTTTAAATTCTGCATACTGCAATTTGTTTTGTTGTAATTGTTTTAAAAATAATTTAAACATATTTCTGTGGTTGTTTTACTTTTTTCCAAGCTGCATGAATTGTTTTATGTTTCAACATCATAAAAAAAGTGTTCCGAAACGTTCCATGAATATTACACGACCGTGAAGTCACATGACCCGGAAATTAAGAAAATGATTCGTAACTTGGGAAGCTAGGCTTTGCTGAAATACCCCTGTAAATATTGTTCCCGTGTAGCTACTTTGAAAACGAAAAGGTGTTTGGATGACTCACTATTTGTTGTTCCAATACATATTTTACTTTAAACATATTTATTGAGTATAATTCAATCAGGATTGGGCAACAGGCAATGCCTATGTACACCCTCCCCTTGTATAATTGGTCAAGATACAATAGTAGGAAATAATACATGAACATGATAATCAATAAAATTATAATGAAAAATAAAGATTCACAATCAAGTATTATTTATCAATATTATATCTTAAAAAAATAAAAAATGACAACCCCCTAACTGTATACATGTTATTTACATACTGTTCCAGCTTAAAAATAATACAAATATTTGAAAAAAAAATTATGCATTTAATAGAATATTTAATATAACAGTGTCCCTAATTTAGTCTTTTAGAAGATTTAATAAATTCTTGTACATATGAAAATATTTTACAATTTGTTTGATAAGAGTATTGAGATTTTCCTCTTAGTAGAGCGTCGAGTTCAAAAACAACATCAATATCATTTAATTTTTTTACCAATATGTTTCTTTCAGCATTATACGATGGGCAGTTGATAAAATAATGTTCAGTATCTTCAGTATGAAATCCACACTTTTGACATGATTGAATATCTGATAAAAAATGATTTTTTAAATGTGCATTAAGATTACTAGCATTGTTTCGCAACTGACAATGCAAGATATTTTCTTTTCTATTACCAAAGTTAAAGTACCTACAAGGTTTATTAGTTGCTCCCCAATTCTTAAGTTTTGCTTTAAAGATAGCTAATGAAGGAGAGTTTTTTACATCTTCACTAAGACTGTTCCAAAGTTTTACGGTTGAGGGAATAAAACTATTATAGTATGACATTGTTTTACAAACTGGTATACATAAGTTATTACATCCAGACCTTAGGTTGTAAGCATGTTGAACAGGAAAACAAGGTTGAATCAAATCATACTAATAATCAGGTGCAGAACCATTTATCATTTCATACATCAATTGAAGTTTGTGTTTTTCATATATATAATACATATTTTGCATAAAATATAAATTGAACAGATTTGCAAAATATCAACGAAACACCCTGACGTGACTCGGAATTGGCGACTTCACTGTATTTGTGTGTATTTTAATTCAAAGAAACGAACACACATTTTTAAAAAATGGAGAGAAGACCCAGAGACCACGAAAAATGAACTTTTCCCCAAATATCCAAATGTGTGAATGTGGTGCTTCTTTATCCTTTTAAAATCAATTGTATATGTGTAGCGGTGATAGCTCAGTAAGTTGGGCTACCTGTTCAGTGCACTGAAAGCGAAAAGTTTTTGGTTTAAACCTTGCATGTGGCGTAAAATTTTTTTCCATGCAAACAACCATTTAATTTTTCAGTTTCGTTTTATGTACTGATGTATTAAAATTTTGAATCAGATAAATTTTGGGTCAGTTTGGTTCTCGAGCGAAATCATTTCCAATCTACTATTCTATAATGTACATGTTCACGTATCATGCATCTATGCATTAAATATTTAGGTGTTTATTTTCGTGAAACATTACTATGTTATAGTACCCCCTAGGAAAAACGGACATAAATGTTACAATCTCTCAAGGTCTTTCAAACTAAATGAAAAAAAAACCTAATATGGACGTGGTTGTAAAATCTGACCAGCTATGTTCAGCCAGCCAAATCATGGACATTTAAACAATAAATGTTTCGTACAAATGATTCCTGTAGATCACACGCCAAATGCGCCCATCTTCTTTTCGACTGATCATTACCGCTACATTTTATTGGTCGAAAACAACTCATTACCGCTACATATCGAATCATATCGCCAGATATTGTAGGGAATATGAGTTCCAATCACAGGCTTTCACAAAAAATTCAGCACGATGTTTTACAGTTCTCATCCTAACACTTTTGGATTTTTGGCAAAGTTAGCATGTACTTCTTAATATATTTGAATATTAATTTCTAGTCCTATGAAATGTTGTTGTATGAATTAAATGCTTGACTTATTCTACTTATGAAAAATAAAGTGGCTTAAATAAAATAAATTGAATTTTAAAAAACCCCATCTTGCTCAAAGTCCTTCTTTCAACTTCCCATGGTGAGTAGGGGAAACAGGTCTTATGCATGTATTTGTTGTACTTTACATCAATCTGTACGCGCATAAGTGTCTGGCTAACGAACGAGACAATGTAGCGGTAATGTATACTTTTACGAGTATATGTAGGGTAATGTTATGTTTTTTGTAGCCATAATGACAATTTCGAAAATGTAGCGGTAATGATAAGCACCCCCAAGGAAAAACATTTATATATTTATTGACAAGCTTCAGTGCGCAATTACTTGGCTTTTTTTTGTGTGCAAATGCATTTCTTCTTCCATATGGACCATTTTTATAATTTTTCCCAAGAGATTTTCCTTTTTTTCGGTAATTTTCATTCTTTCAATGTCTATCATAGTATAATCATCTTTAGTGTTTTTAATATTTTCTTTTTTTTCATTTTTATTCAGATTACACATTTCTGGAAGGATAAAAATAACTTTTTTGTTAGTATTACTTTATAATTAAGAATTTGAAAGCCAGGAATAGAGATTAGATAATTCTTTAAAAAGTGCAGAGGTCCGGACCCACTCTTATAGATCCGATCAAATATACATTGTTTGGTACTACTTACCAAAGAAATGATGTCCAGCAGTTAATCTGTTTTTATTATTGAAGTCTTCGGTGTCTTGCTCTCGCCATCCTTCATGAAAGTGTTTCGGACAACCAGATTTTGGTTTGACTAAAGTATATGTCCCCCTCGGCCATTTAACTGATAAAATAAAGAAATTGTACAAGTCTCTGTTACCCTTGGGTTTTCCGTAGTGCGTGGTTTTCTAGACGCTTGATATTGTGCTATGTCATAATTTAAGTGTATTTTTAAGGTACTCCGATCTTCAGGCTCTATAAATCAAACATTGACCAACTGAAGACGATCACAAAAATATCTCTGAATTCTCAGCGGAATGTGCTTTTACCCACAATAATTCTTCAAACATCATCTTTAAAAATCATATAACTAGGAGTACATAGGGAAAAGGAGCAAATTTTAAATAAGTTTTCAGGAAATGCGAATGAAAACAGTTACATGTACCATGTATTTTCCGACAAACATATTTTAGATATAACTAGATGTACTGTGAGCAATGAGCTCACTAAATGATACCCCCCGCCTCCGATCTGAATATAATGGCAGTCCATGTTTTGCTCTGGAAAATCCAAAATATATGTCAGATCAAAACGTAAAATAGAAGGTGCACAATGGCAATATGTAATAAAGATTGTGTGAAAGTTTCATTAAATTTCCTTCAGTGGTATGAGAGGAGTTGCGGATAAGAGACGGGTACCCCAAAGCGTAACAGACGGACGGACGGAAATACCGATTACTAAATACCCTCTCGCTTTTCAAGCGGGGGGGGGGGGGGGGGGGGGGGGGGTTATAAAAATCATAGGTATCCAGGCTTTTGAAGAAATTGCATTTTTTAAAATAGTTTACATATAAGATACTTTAATTTCTTCTATTTACTGCGATCATTTTACTTTTGTATATAAAGAATTTCCTATCATTGCAAAACACCATAATTCACTTCTAATTTCATATCATGAAAATAATCATTGTTGGTTTCATTGGGTAGATGAAATGAAAAAAATAAATGTCGGAAAAGGAAAAAAAATACTATCGAAAATGCTATGTAAATGCTATGTAAAATAAACCTTGAAGCATACTGAGAGCTATAAAGTGAAAATTGTTGCATTAAAATAATTTATTTTCAAGCTTCATTCAGAGACTTTTAGAATTAAATTATAAATTAAATTACAAATTAAAGAATTATCCTTCCTGGCTTTGGATCGGAACATATCTATGGTATACAGACCCTAAAAACAGTTCCCAATCCATACTAATAAATTTAATATTCATTGTGTTACATGTAGAAAATACCTTTTCTAAACTGTTAATTTCTTAAAACAGTTAATTTTCATATTTGAGCATTATAATGATCATACATGCAACTTAAGTATGGGTGAATGCTATTTATCAGTTAACCGTTTATTGTCAATAAATGGTTAGGATCAATTAAACATTATCAATTAATATAACAAAAGAAGTCTATGCACATCAGTCAGGATGACATTTCATATACACAATGTTCAGTGATAGTACACTTGTTACATCATACATCTATAAACATATGTATAATATATAAAACTATTCAATTCTTGATAAACATAAGTGTATGTACTTTGTAGCATACTGTTTAAAAATCTGTCAAGTTCTAAAATTTTGAATATACCGTGTAGTAGTAAATGCAATTTTTTGTCATGTTCTAAATTTTGTATTTACTCCCACCTGGTAGATTCAAAATTAGAAAATGACATATCTATACATTATTATCAATATCAGACTCATGATTTAAACAAACTTGAAACCTAAATGTTCAGGAAAATACATGAACTTTCATATATACATGGCTCCTAGGAAGAATAAAAACCTATATTCCCCTCCTATAATTAATTCCTCTTGAATTCCCTTTACTCTTTTAAAGGATACTCTCTGCTAAGTGTTGTTGAATTTGGCTTAGTGGTTCTGTTTAAGAATATGAAATTGTAAAAACTTTACTACGAAGACATTGACGGACATGCAGAAGACAAAGTTTACTTGATCAATTTACCTCTATATTTCCTCTCCGGTATTTTACATAGCATTTCGACAATTGTTCCCCTTTTCCGACATTTAGTATTCCTCATTTCCATAATTTTTGCATCCTACTATTCGGCAATTTAATGCTTACCACCTTAAAAATATTTCAATTCACATTTTCAAAATAAATGTCTATAAACTACTCTAGAATCATCATTGTTCCCGTGAGACAAATGTTCGTGGATTTCGTGGGTCACCCTTTCCCATGAATTAACATCTCTGTGATCGTTTACTTGTATTTGTATTACTTGATTGAACCATCGTCGAGTAACCTAGAAAATTACTTTCCCACGAACAGGTCAAATTTTGCTTACCAACGAACATTGAACCCCACGAATTCAAATGATTCCACAGTATAAAAAGTCGGATTTGAAAAATTGAAAATTTCAAAAAATTCCGGCAAAATCCAGATATGAAATGCAGCCCTTTAAGTTTTTACTGCATGTAGGACAGAAACTTGACTAACCTTGCTAGACCAGGGGCTCTGGTGAGTTCAATGCTGTTTCATTTGACGTTACCTATTATTGTTATAAAAAATATAGTTAATAAGTCTTTTGTTGATAAGTAGGAAGGTTATTTTTCGTGACGAATTAATGTCAAGACCCTAAACTAGAATTTCGCTGAAACAGCGCCAATGCCAGACCATTACCCAGTCTTATTAAAACTATATTACCCTTCCACAATTAGTCATATTGTCGAGTAGGTAGCAGTTTATTGCGTATGTTCTTCCTACAACTCCTATTATAACACTGATTATTTACAAATGCCTGTGACATTAAAAAGTTTTCACCCCTATTTGAAGAAGAATGCATGCTTAATAATTTAAGATAATACGTTCACCTGCCATCGTGAAGCTGACGTAACACAGTAGGCAGAAAATTATCTTATCCATGATGAAACATAAATTAGAGTAAGCAAGTAACAAAAGTATTTCTACTTCCAAATGCACAACTTTCGGGTTTACTACGTTTCCGGCAGGGCGACCGAGTCACATGTCATGAATGCATTCTCAAATTATGTAACTATAATTAAACATGTAAAAACTAAAAATATTTTGCGAATGCATTTGATTGCTGCGCCAGAAAACGTCTTCGGTCAAGGGGTGTGTGTGTGTGTGTGGGGGGGGGGGGTAATAGAGTTGAGTCTTAGAGCCATGGAGTGGAGTCTATCCCTCAGAAGTTTAGACCTTACCCTAAATCTTACATTCTAAAGCAACATTTTGAATACTGCAATCCTTGTAGCTGAAAAGCTTCATTCGGTTCAAAGTGCTGGATTTGGGTTCCACTTCTTCTATTTTTAAAATTAGCTACTTTGATTTTAAAAATTATTCTGCAGTCTCAAGCAGTAAAGATGCCAGTTAAATTAAAATTCTGACAAAGCTACTACCATTTGACACTTTGGGCTTAGATGTAAAACGTTTTGGTCTATTTCAGGCATTTTTATGTTGCACACATAATAGCTCGGTATATTTCAAGACACAATGTGATTTTCATCAGATTGTTTCAAGACGTTCAATGAAGTTGTCATCGACAATTACCATACAAAACAATCACAACGTATGGTGTCCCGATAGGGTCATTTACTAAAACAATAAAATGCTTTCTTTGGAACAGCCACTGATCAAGAAATCTTTACATCCACTGAATATTTTTTCCTTTATTTCTTATGCAGATCATTGCCATTAATCTGTGCATGAACAACATATTGAGCAAGCCACATGTGTAGTTTTCTTGAACAATGGCTGTTCCATCAGTTTTACATATAATGACATATTCATCTTACAAACAATAATTAACGAATTTAATTTTACTTTGAATGATTTTCAATATAGATGTAAATATAAGCAATAAAATGCTTTCTTTGTTTGTTTGTACGGGAATCAACGTCGCAGCAATTGCAGAAAAAATTGCATTTGTTTTTTACATTTGACTCCAATACCAATTTCAGTAGTCCTTGCCAACTGACGTCAAACACAAACGCAACCACACGAGATTTACATGCATATTTGGCCTCCTTAGCGTCAGACACAGAGACAGATGCGCACGAGATTTGCATGCATATTTGGCCTCCTTAGCTCTTGGCCTATCGACCTGCCTAATTAACATTCCGGTAGAATTATCAAGAAATCAACTCTGCTAACTGTCATAGAGTTATTATCAATATCATAGAGAAAAAAAAATTAGAAATGGAAATATAAAAGTGTAACAGCGCGTTTGGAAGAGCGCACTTATGCAAATGAATAACGTGCTAGCACGTTAAAACGAACGCACTAATGCAAAGGGACAACATATTAATCCGTTTTTCACAACACACCGTCGCTTACACACTTCACGCCGTCACGACTATCGCAACTTTGCACAACATTCCATCACGCTAAAACACAGCATATTGTGTAAAGTTAAACGTTGTGTTAGCGTGACGTTGTGTTGTGTAAAGTGTGGTGTTTGCGTTACGGCGTGATTAACATTACAACGTCCTGTAAACAACAGGCTAGGTCACTCGCAAAAAGCAACGGTGCGCTTATATCAAAGCTCTGGTGCGTTTTCAGCAACACACTATAGTTCGTTAATTGCCACTTTACACTAGCGTGTTGTCACTTTGCACTAGCAATTATCGGGTCAGCAGGGATAAGCGTACGTATTTTTGTGTGTGTAAATTTCATTATTAAATTTGTTGACTTTGAAATAAAATACAATGACTACCAGAGAGAGAAAAAATGTTCCCAACTGCGCTCATATGCACGCACATACCTTTGATTGAAGAGATTTGCAAAGTGGAGCTGGGCTAAAAATGAATGGGAGTTGGATGTAAATATTATTTCCCTACTTGAAATTAAGTGATATATCTTGCATATGATCTTATTTTCGGTGAAAGTGGTATTCCATAGAGGTACATATATCATACATTTTTGGTCAATCTACTGCAAGGGGCGGTATGACAAATCATCGATCTTTAGGCTATTTTTTTTTTCTCTCAGAAAAATTGTTTATAGTTTTAGCGAGTGCTAATTTTAGGAATTATATACTGCCATGAAAGATAAGTAACACATTCGCTTATAATGTGAAAATTAAATCTTTGCTCAAAATTCTGCGAATAAGCTTTCCCTTTGCAATTGCTAATAAGAATGTACAAAATACCACGCAAAAAAGTAATATATTACATTCATACTGGTATTTTTTATTCAAAAGATGCTAGACTGATACAATCAACATCACTGATTAGATTTAAAGTGGAGAATAGTAGCAGTAATAGGGATTATGGTTTCTTCCCCCAGCTCCGTAGGGATAACTTCCGTTTACAGAGTTTTTGTTGTTTTTATTCTCGTCATCAAAATGTACCTTCTCCTCTCTGACGTACATCCCCCTGACCACCTGACACTGTGACGTAAATCTTAACAGGTAGAAGGGGTTTACTGTCGGTAGCCTTATTGCATTGGTGTACCAACCGTCTTCTCTGCGTTTGAAAATAAAAACAACATAATTAATTTAATTCAAGGGATACTGTTATTAAATGCTAAATCTGACCATGGAAATAATGCATTTTGGCAAAATTAACCATTTTTTATAGTGCCACCATAATATAAAATTGTCGACAAAATCGTTGTAACCAACTCTACAGAATTTTAAAATGTGATTAACAATATCATTTTCTGAATATGTGCTCATCCATGTATTAAACATTGTACATAATTCTTTGTTTTTAAACAATTATGATAATAGGATATATTTGCCCAAATGCTGCTCATACCAAGACATATGAGTTGATGGAACTCAAATGAAGGAATAGGAATATGAACATATAATTCCAAATAGAAAGGAACGTTTTTGTTACATTTCCTATACATGTGGTTAATGGACAATACTTCTTTTAATGGTTAATTTTGACATACCTGCAGCAATATTCTATCCTTGTATTCCTGTTATAGGTTCCAGTGGGAAGTGTTCCTCCATAAGAGTTCTTGTTCCTAGAATCCTCGTCATCCCAGTGTATGCTTCCACTTTTAAAACCTAATATGCATTTCAAGATTCGAACAAAAGTTAAATAAGCAGATTGTCTGATAAAAATGATTTGTGTAACTCAGAAATTAATTAGAAGTTTTACCCGAGGGAGGACAACTAGTCCCGTGCTTAAGAATGCAGTAGTTTCCGGCTGGCCAGAACCCCTCGTCGTTTATGTCATTGGGATCTTTGGTACAGTACTCGAACTTCATATTTCTACCAAAGGAACCTGTTCGAAAAATCTCCTGATTCTTTTAATAAGCTTTCATGCAAAGGTTAGTTTCTACACTGATAAAATCTCGTTAATTAAGTTGTTTTAATAAAATCTGAGAAAGATATTTAATAACGATTAAATATTAGTACATATATCCATTTCATAAGATTATCAAAGAATTACGCTACCCGCATTAGGTTGATTTATAAGGGTTTTAAACAAACAGATAATGCCCAAAAAAGTGTAGAAAGTGAAATGTACTAGGGGTTTAAATGCTTAAAATTGGTAAAATTTTACCAAAGCCTTTCCTCGTGAATTGACACATTCTAACCTGAGAAGTGATGTGCATCAGCTAGTTGATTCTTGTTGTCGTCGTCTTCATTATCTTGGTGTCTCCATCCTTCCAACCAGCCCGGTGGACATCCGGACTTCGGTTTGACCAATGTATAGCTTCCTCTTGGCCACTTGACTTACAATGTCCAATGTAGCGAAACACGCAATAAATAGAATAAATATTCCTCATTTAAATCATAAATTATTTTTAGTATTTTTATCTAAAAATACGATTAATTAAACTTAAAAAAGACAATAAGTGGAAAATCTAAATTGTGACAAAACTAAAAACTAATTTAAAACTAAAAGGAGTTAAATACCTGCTAAAATGCTACTCATGCAACATAAAAGTAGAAGAGCTATTCTTCCACCGAAGTATTTTTTCACTTTAAATTCCACTAATGGATTATAAGTTGAGAATTTTGTTGGGTTTTACATATAAAAAAAACTTCGAAGGATATGTTTTATAGCAACAATTTAGGATCATTAAATGGATATCCGCTTCAGTGACACGTAGGCATAAATTATACAGCATATTGAAATGACATTTATTAATCACATTATCCCTTTTTAGTTATCTAATTTCAATTCTATTACATCATGTGACATTTGATGCTAATTATGAAAGTTTACCAGCTATTTTATATATTATTTTAAAAACATCTGTTTAAATTTAATTTCTTCAAGCAATCATTTGACTGATAATATCCACTATTACATTTACAACTGATTCATAAAAAACAACATGTTACATGTATGCAAATAATCAGGTGTTATCTTTGTTTTAGGCACAAAAAAAAATCACAAAACTGTTTTGATCTCACAGAAACTTCAGAAAATTATGGAATTGATAATTTGAATCACTTTTAAAACCATAACTTTTATTTTAACTTTGGCTACGTATATCTACTGCTAAGTGTTCATTACAGAAGCCTCGCGACAGACGGTCATGGACTTCCCTACAATATTAAAAGTTTGCTGCAATTTTAAAAAACCCACTTGTTTGTACTAAGAAAATAGTCAGTTTGTTTATTTTGCAGGAATAATATTGTTCCTCAATTGCTTCAAACCACAAGTGAAATTATATTTGTAGATGACAAAATCATTTATGGCGATGTTATTTTATAGAATAATAAAAATGAGAACAATTTACATTTTTTGCATACTGTATAAAATATACGTAGCATTGCAATAGCTTCAGTTACAAATTATTCAAACATTATAAATTTGTAAAGTCATAAAGCATTCGCTTCAGAAAACTAGCAATATTTATACCCCCCGCTTGAAAAGCGGGAGGGTATATAGTGATCGGGATTTCCGTCCGTCCGTCCGTCTGTCCGTCCGTCCGTCTGTACGTCCGTCCGTCCGTCCGTCTGTTA